GCAGGGACCGTCGCGAGGATTTGAACCGCCAACCTTCTGATCGGCAAGTCCTAGGCTCTGTGGTTTAACCCACAGTGCCACCCGGACATAGTTAAATGAGAGTGACTTGGCCTATATGTTCAAGACCAAGCATGAGTATCTGTAAGAACTTTTCCCTAGTCACTCCACTAGAACAGTTTGCTCAGAAAATATTGCAAAGCCTGAGAGACAACCTTGATGCAAAGTAATTTCGTTGTCCCCGAGAGGGGGTAATGACAATAAAGATATTATTATTATTATTATTATTATTATTATTATTATTATTATTATTATTCCTGTTTGTGACTGTTTATTATCAATATATTTTCAGACGCAGATGATCAGAAGTAGCAAAAGATTCAAACCCCATTCACCAGACAATTATCCAGATCGGGCTCCCAGATCCCCATGTCATTAATTAATTTTGAAACTTTAACAGCCATACAAAGGCTAAAGACACAAATACTTCTTTTCTATATATTTGCTCTTTAAGAGTTCTGTGGATTTAAACTGTATTTTATCTCCAGTTTTATGACACACAAAACTTACAGAGCATTGTGATGAAGAGGTTTATCAAACTCCTTAAATAAACAAACAGACCTAGTTTGGCCATAAGCCTTCCAAAACTGCTTCAAGATCTCACTAGCTTGGCTGGTCTTGCTCCTAAAACATTACAGCTAGCTTTCCCCAACCCACCTTGGGCAAAATTTGGTGGGATGTTAGTTCATGCTCCTCATCAGGTTTTATTCTCTACTTAACAGTTGCTTGCAATATGGTTGGAATCACAAGCAACCAGATCTTTGTAACAGGACAAATATAAACAAGACTGCAGCACGATGGTCATGTTAGCCTAAGAACCTTTCAGGTCTAGATTTGCTCCCCTGATTCTAGCTGTTCAGCTCCAAGCCTTCTCCATTTAAAATGATTATTATTGCAAGGCTCTAATTCTAAGGCCAATTACCTTATGATCCTGGAATCCATGAGTCCACCCTCCAATTAAAACAGTGTGTGCCTCTTGCAGAGAAAACAGTATAACACAAGCAGGGCAATGCCAACTATGTGGCAACAGGATAAACACTAGACCGCTATTCATAGTGGGCTAGGTCACACACTAAGGCAGAGAAGGCCCTCTTACTAGACATGATTTTTTAAGCCGCTTGCCCAGTAGTCCTCAAACTTTTTTCTTTGGGCCACACTTGTAGAATAAAAATTTGCTTGCACCACACTGAATTTTTAATTGATAAGAAGAAGTTGGAAAGCAAAAAGGCACAACAACTAGCCGTGCTTGATTTATAACATATTATTATTATTATTATTATTATTATTATTAAGGGACGCGGGTGGTGCTGTGGTCTAAACCACAGAGCCTAGGGCTTGCCAATCAGAAGGTCGGTGGTTCGAATCCCCGCAACAGGGTGAGCTCCCGTTGTTCGGTCCCAGCTCCTGCCAACCTACCAGTTTGAAAGCACATCAAAGTGCAAGTAGATAAATAGGTACCGCTCCGGCGGGAAGGCAAACAGCGTTTCCATGCGCTGCTCTGGTTCACCAGAAGCGGCTTAGTCATGCTGGCCACATGACCCGGAAGCTGTACACCAGCTCCCTCGGCCAATAAAGTGAGATGAGTGCCGCAACCCCAGAGTCGTCCACGACTGGACCTAATGGTCAGGGGTCCCTTTACCTTTATTATTATTATTAATTTAATTTATATGCCACCTTATACCTGAAGGTCTCAGGGCAGTTCACAGAACAATATCAGAATATAAAACCACAAAATATATAATCAAAATAAAAACAGCAACAACCCAATAACCCCCCAAACCACATTTTTAAAGGGCACAGGCTGTGTATCAAATCAACCAAAGGCCTGGTTAAAATGAACATTTTTGCCTGGCGCCTAGAGCATTCCACAGACGGGGAGCCACTGCAGAGAAGGCCTCTTCTCATGGACACAACTACTATACAATATGATCATGGGATACCCAGAAAGTATAAAACAATGCAGCTAACAGAAGAACACGAATCATTCCCAAAACAGAATTATAAATGAGTCTCTTACAGATGTACCTTAAGTATGTCTACAAACTCAATGAGAGGTGTGAGCTTGCTTTTGCTGGGTAATCTCATTTATATTAGGTCTAAATTGAGACAAATAAACTCTCGTCAACACAAAGAATACTTTTTCTTTTCCGATCTTACGTATTTGTCAGAGTTGAAAATCCCTCCTCACAACAATATGTCGTGGGGAACTGTAGAAAAATAGCCAATGCTGTTGAAGAGAGGCGTAGACACAGTTTCTAGAGAGATATATATAATTATACTATAAAGAAATGTTTAAATTTGTCTTTGATTGTCCTTGACTCTTTCTTGTCCACGTCTACTGCCACACCCTTTGAGAACCACAGCTCTCATCGCTGGTAGACTGAGCTTGCAGTCCAATAACATGTGCTTGAAAAGGCAGGCGTCACTTAAGTGGACTTATTCTAATTACCAGATACAACTGGGCAATGTGATACATCCCAGGGAAGCCCACCCATCCAGGAGCTGGTCATGGATATAGCAGCAAACCCTTTAAATCAAGGACCAGCAACCATCAGGAACTACCGTATTTTTCGCACCATAGGACGCACTTTTTCCCTCCTAAAAAGCAAGGGAAAATGTGTGTGCGTCCTATGGAGCGAATGCAGGCTTTCGCTGAAGCCTGGAGAGTGAGAGGAGTCGGTGCGCACCGACCCCTATCACTCTCCAGGCTTCAGGAAGCTATCCACTACCTGTGGGAGACCCAGCTCTCCCACGGCTAGCGGAGCGCTGCATTAATCCCGAAGCTTGGGGCGTGCGGAGCTCAGCGCGCCCCAAGCTTCTGGGTGCCGGCAAGGTCTAGCGCTCCGCTAGCCGTGTCTAGGCTGCGGATAGCAGCCTGCTTCCCGGAGTGTCAGGCGCCCTGAAAGCAGAGCGCCCGGTGCTTCGGGAACACACCCGCAGCGTGGGGACCCTTGCAGGAGTTCCCCGCAGGGCTCCCCACGCTGCAGATAGCAGCCTGCCGCCGGGCGGGTGGGGCGCCCTGAAGCAGAGCGCCCTTCACGCCAGGCATACATCCGCAGCGTGGGGACCCTTGCAGGAGTTCCCCGCAGGGCTCCCCACGCTGCAGATAGCAGCCTGCCGCCGGGCGGGTGGGGCGCCCTGAAGCAGAGCGCCCCTCGCGCCAGGCATACATCTGCAGCGTGCGGAGCCCTGCAGGAGTTCCCCGCAAGGCTCCCCAAGCTGCGGATAGCAGCCTGCCGCCCGGCTGGTAGGACACCCTGAAGCAGAGCGCCCCTCGCGCTGGGCAGACATCCGCAGTGTGCGAAGCCCTGCAGGAGTTCCCCGCAAGGCTCCCCAACCTGCGGATAGCAGCCTGCCGCCCGGCGGGTGGGGCGCCCTGAAGCAGAGCGCCCCTCGCGCCAGGCATACATCCGCAGCGTGGGGAGCCCTGCAGGAGTTCCCCGCAGGGCTCCCCACGCTGCGGATAGCAGCCTGCTGCCTGGCGGGTTGTGCCCGCTGAAGCAGAGCGCCCCGCGCGCCAGGCAGACATCAGCCAGCCTCACAAGCTCGGGGGACAGCAGGGAGGCGCAGCGCCACTATCCCGCTGTTCCTCGACTTGGTTCGGTTTCCCTGACCTGCTTTTGGGGGGGGGGAAATAAAGGGAAAAAATTTTTTGCTTTATTTCCCCCCCAAAAAACTAGGTGCGTCCTATGGTCCGGTGCGTCCAATCGTGCGAAAAATACGGTAGGAGTCAAACTTCTCATGATGTTTATCACCTAAGCCTGCAGCTACATATATACTTTTTTTTTTAACTGGAAGGAAAGTGGGATGGGTGCGACAGAAGGAGGGAGGAAAAAGACTGAATTATTCACACATCACTCCCTGATTCCCCCCCCAAAAAAACAACTCTGCCCCCTCTCCTTTGCTGGTTGCTGGGAAACTCAAGAAGGGAGAGTGCAGTTGTACTCTTGAACTTAAAAACGGAAAGCTTTAAAGAATCTCTCAAGGCAAATATTTAAAAATGCAGTATAAACACAGACAACTGGGAAACACTGGCCTGCAAGCGCTCCAATTGGGGAATAGCCTTTCCCAAAGGTCTCATGGGCTTTGAAGACGCTTGAACTCAGGACAAAAGGGAGAAACGTGCTTAAGAAGAAGGCATGCTTGGCAAATCCACACCGTGATCAGCTCCCTCCCGGAAACCTATGTCCCCACTGTGGAAGGATGTGTGGATCCAGAATTGGCCTCCACAGTCACTTACAGACTCACTGTTTAAACCGTGTTCATGGAAGAAAATCTTATTATGTTTCGAGTGATCGCCAAAGAAAAGAAGAGGATTAGGAGCGGGGAAATCCAGGTTTAGATCCTGCTCAGCCCTGAAGTTCACTAGACCTTGGTTCATTCATTGTTCCTTATACTAGGAATAGGTTGGAGACTTTCAAGGCCTAAAGGTTTCTTCAGAAATATCTGATTGACTATATGTTGCCCATTCTAGATTACATTTCAAAACAAACCTACTCAAGACATTTTAGAGTTTTACATTGGAAAAATTTGGAGAACAGCCTTTACCAAAGGTGTCATGGGCTTTGAAGATGCTCAAACTCAGGACGAAAGGGAGAAATGTGCTAGGAGGAAGGCACGCTTGGCAAACCCTCATCGTGATCAACTCCCACCCAGAAACCTATGTCCCCACTGGGAAAGGACATGTGGATCCAGAATTGGCCTCCACAGTCACTTACGGACTCACTGTTAAGACCGTGTTCATGGAAGACAATCTTACTTGGCTACAAGTGATCACCAAAGAAGATTTAGGTCCTGTTTGCTGGCTTCCCAGAAACATCTGGCTGGCTATTGGGTCATTGGCTTCCTCTTTTGTTCTTATGCTCTTGGATGGGAGCCAAAGCGTGGAATTTTCTAAGGATCAAATCCACCATCTCTTGGTGCTAAATCCCTACGTTTTAGGCATGGAGACTGAGGAGGCGATAGGTAACAAATCTATATCCCCATCCTGAAAAAATGTGACGGCTGGAGTAATTTTAAATAATTATCCTGGCTGAGAATCAAAAAAGGAAAACATGGTGATGAAAACATTAGCTCAAACTGAACTCTACTGGATTCAGTGACAACTCTATTTGCTTCAGTGAATTGCACAACTATTTTTAATTTGGCATAATGTTTTCATAGCGGGGAAAAATGTGTTTTCTTTCTGGGTCTATATTGCAAAGTCACAGCATGCCTGAATGCTCTTGGTCACCCCTTTAAATTCATCAGTTTATTAAGCTCGAAGTGCAACACATTAAAATAATAATAATTACTATCTAAATTTATGAAGTGACAGTTCAAGATAATTCCAAAGATAATAATTTTTTACTAATAACTCATAACTGCCCTGGCAAGTAACCACACAGAGAAATTTTCCTGAGAGTAGCTGACCAACCAAGAATTTATACAGTTAGCAGTCAGCCTAGAGTTAGCACTGAGCACCAGAGTCTTGCACCAGGGGAATGCAATTTTCAATAAAATAGGGTGGGGGGTACTGAGGCCTCATATCAGTGCATACTTTAACCTTGCGAATTATGAGCAACAATCCAACCATTTACCACACCAGTGGAGAAAAACTAGCAGGATATCAAAGGGCTTGCTTATTGATACCACTGTATAATAATTTCCACAAGGGTAGCCATGTTTGTTGTTTTCGCTGCAAGAAAAACTAAGCACCTTTTGGTACCTTAAAGACAAATTTTATTGTGGTATAGACTTCCAGGAAGTGCATCAGGAAGTGTATATAATAAAGATGTTAGCCTTTAAGATACCCCAAGATCCCTCATTATTTTCACAGTGTAATTGTGTGTATCTTATAATCATTCCCTTTGTGGCTTAGGGCCCTCGTATTTACAGGACCGCCTCTCCTGGTATGCCCCACAGAGGACCTTAAAGTCCATGAGTAACCATAGTTTAGAGGTCCTGGACCCTAAGGAAGTCAGACTATCCTCCACCAGGGCCAGGGCCTTTTCAGTGATGGCTCCAACCTGATGGAATTCTCTGTCCCATGGGACTAGGGCCCTTCAGGATTTAACCTCCTTTTGTCAGGCCTGTAAGACAGAGCTATTCCGCCTGGCCTTTAATTTTAATTCAGCCTGATCTTTTATTTCCCTTCTCTTCCCTCCACCTCCCCTTTTTATGAAGATTACCCGCTCTGAGATGCCACAGCTAATTCTCCCCTGGCCTCCTCGCTGGCCCAAGTAGGACTAATTCAGCCAGCTAGCCCTGGTGACTATCTAATGCTTATTGTATGGATTTCCCACAAATTGATTTTTGAACTTCGAATTTTATTGTTATTCATGTTTTTATACTGTATTTTATGCTGCTTCTATGTTGTATTACAATTAAGTGTTTTTAAATTCGTTGTTAGCCACCCTGAGCCCGGTTTTCTGAACCGGGAAGGGCAGGGTATAAATAAAAATGTATTATTATTATTTATTATTAATATTGGAGGGTTAAGTAGTACAGTGGTACCTCGGTTTACATATGCTTCAGGTTACAGACGATTCAGGTTACAGACTCCGCTAACCCAGAAATAGTACCTCAGGTTAAGAACTTTGCTTCAGGATGAGAACTGAAATCGCGAAGCGGTGGTTCAGCGGCAGCGGGAGGCGCCATTAGCTAAAGTGGTGCTTCAGGTTAAGAACAGTTTCAGGTTAAGTACGGACCAACGGAACGAAATAAGTACTTAACCCGAGGTACCACTGTAATAGGACTGGGGCAATGAAAAACAAGAGGAAGGGAGCAGAGTTATTGACTGAGAGCTAGCTACAGACTGCAGAACTACAAAGCATCAGGTGCATTATCTATGGGTGTCCGGGGGGCGGGGCTGAGGCTCCTCCAAATTTTTCAATTAGGGGGCTGGGCCCCCTCACTATTCTGCAGCCGGGTGGGCCCTGTCAGCCCCCCTGCAGCTGCGACAGACTCCATTGGGCCCTCCTATAGCCGTGGTGTGGGGTCCACCAAACCTTTTGGAGGGCATGCCAGGCCCCATCGGGCCTCTTGCCATCATGTGAGGTCACACACATGCGCCAGGGCCCCCCCCCCATGTTGGACGGAACCCGGCACACCTGCAAAGCATGTAATGAAAACTTCCCCCACTTTGCACAAGAGGAGAGCGCAAGCTTGGCAGCCTTAAGGAACCACAGAACATTGAGAGTCATTGAGTGGAAAGGAAAAAGAGAGAATGAGGCAGGGAATTGACCTGCTTGTGAACTGACCTGCTTGAAGAAGAAGAAGAGTTTGGATTTGATATCCCGCTTTATCACTACCCAAAGGAGTCTCAAAGCGGCTAACATTCTCCTTTCCCTTCCTCCCCCACAACAAACACTCTGTGAGGTGAGTGGGGCTGAGAGACTTCAGAGAAGTGTGACTGGCCCAAGGTCACCCAGCAGCTGGATGTGAAGGAGCGGGGAATCAAACCCGGTTCACCAGATTACGAGTCTATCGCTCTTAACCACTACACCACACGCTCTCTTGAGCTACAGCTTATAGGATTCTGGAAGATGACTTGGCTGGTTGACGCACAAAGCAGGAGCTGATAGTGGGTGAGGTTATACCGTACTGCAACATATTATTGCAGGTCCTACTTACATTATGCAATACAGTCGTACCTCCGTTTATGTAACCCTCTGGTTATGTAAACTTCGGGACGCACATGCTGCAAACTCAGAAGCATTTTACCGGGTTTCACCGCGCATGCATGCGCAGAAGCGGTCTGCGCATGCGCAGAAGCAGTCCTCAGCTTGCGGAAACCTCAGGATTTGACCGGACCTCTGGAACGGATCCCGCCTGCAACCGGAGGTACCACTGTATAGTAAAAGAGAAGTAATTCCTCCAGACCCCCCCCCCAACAGAACAAATATAAATGAACTGGCTCATGACAAGACGCAAAACATAAATTTCATCTGCTCCTGTTGGAAAGCGAAAGGAAATGATCTCTTCCATTGCCAGATGTCCCCAGAGGAAATTAATCCATGTGTTTTCTTCCAAACTTGTTTGTGCAGCTTCACTCGGAACAATTATGCATTATCTAGCCTGATTGGTCAGAGAATAATAATAATAATAATAATAATAATAATAATAATAATAATAATAATAATTTATTATTTATACCCCGCCCATCTGGCTGGGTTTCCCCAGCCACTCTGGGCGGCTTCCAAAAGAATATTAAAATACTGTGATACATCAAACATTAAAAGCTTCCCTAAACAGGGCTGCCTTCAGATGTCTTCTAAAAGTCTGGTAGTTGTTGTTCTCTTTGACATCTGGTGGGAGGGCGTTCCACAGGGAGGGCGCCACTACCGAGAAGGCCCTCTGCCTGGTTCCCTGTAACTTGGCTTCTCGCAATGAGGGAACCGCCAGAAGGCCCTCGGTGCTGGACCTCAGTGTCCGGGTAGAACGATGGAGGTGGAGACGCTCCTTCAGGTATACTGGACCGAGGCCGTTTAGGGCTTTAAAGGTCAGCACTAACACTTTGAATTGTGCTCAGAAACGTACTGGGAGCCAATGTAGGTCTTTCAAGACCGGTGTTATATGGTCTCGGCGGCCGTTCCCAGTCACCAGTCTGGCTGCTGCATTCTGGATTAGTTGTAGTTTCCGGGTCACCTTCAAAGGTAGCCCCACGTAGAGCGCATTGCAGTAGTCCAAGCGGGAGATAACCAGAGCATGCACCACTCTGGCGAGGCAGTCCGCGGGCAGATAGGGTCTCAGCCTACGTACCAGATGGAGCTGGTACACAGCTGCCCTGGACACGGATTTAACCTGTGCCTCCATGGACAGCTGTGAGTCCAAAATGACTCCCAGGCTGCGCACCTGGTCCTTCAGGGGCACGGTTACCCCATTCAGGACCAGGGAATCCTCCACACCTGCCCGCCTCCTATCCCCCAGAAACAGTACTTCTGTCTTGTTAGGATTCAATCTCAATCTGTTTGCCGCCATCCATCCTCCAACCGCCTCCAGACACTCACACAGGACCGTCACCGCCTTCACTGGTTCTGATTTGAAAGAAAGGTAGAGCTGGGTATCATCTGCATACTGATGAACACCCAGCCCAAACCCCCTGATGATCTCTCCCAGCGGCTGCATGTAGATGTTGAAAAGCATAGGGGAGAGGACAGAACCCTGAGGCACCCCACAAGTGAGAGCCCAGGGGTCTGAACACTCATCCCCCACCACCACTTTCTGAACACGGCCCAGGAGGAAGGAGCGGAACCACTGTATGACAGTACCCCCAGCTCCCAGCCCCTCAAGACGGTCCAGAAGGATGTTATGGTCGATGGTATCAAATGCCGCTGAGAGATCCAGCAGAACTAGGAAACAGCTCTCACCTTTGTCCCTAGCCCGCCGGAGATCATCAATCAGTGCGACCAAGGCAGTTTCAGTCCA